GGGGGAGGGAAGGGCAAGAGGATGGAGCAAAGGAACTTCCCAGTCGTGGACAACTCATCTTCACTAGGGTGAAAAAGGACGAAATGCTAGGGATTAATGAGCTTTCGGATAATTCCATGCACTCCTCTGTACTTTGTAATCCTAGAAAGAACATAAAGTCCTGCGTGTCTTCGCTACGGTAGTCAGCAACCTGGGAACATAGGTGGCCTAGATCGTGAGGACATAGGCCATTACCGACTCTACGCACTCACCCACTCGCTTCCAATCTCCTGAGAATGAAATTAGTTGCATGGAAATCACATTTTACTGTTTTAAGATCCCGATGCTGGCTCACGTCGGGCGTCGTCGACTGTCGGAGGGACGGATCAGGAAGCACGGAGTCGCTGAATACGTTCTTTCAATATTAAAGCCACTCACTTCATTCACCCCTGCATAAAATGGGTTCAGCTTAAGGTCACAAGGTTTTTCCTAGAAAGCGCGTTCAAAGTCGGCGTATTCGCGAGCAGCTGCCAACGTGCAAGCTGCATATTGACTGGCGCTGAGCGTGCCCCGCCCACAAAGCGTCATCGCTGATGGCGGCCGAGAATTTGATCGACATTTATGCCCTTCGTCAATATCTTTCTTGCAAAAACCTGAGCTGCGCCATGCATTCCCCTCGTGATCTACCGATTCTGAGTCTAGCAGAAGTTCTTTAGCTCTGCTTGTAGTCTGATACAAAACCACAGATTACAAACCCATATCTGAAAAGCAGCAGGTCAGAATTGAGTGGTCATTCAAGCAATTCTCTTTCTCAACAAGAAAATCTCGGAATTATCACAAATCGATTTGAATTCGAATCCGCTAGGAATTTCAACCGTTCTAGTCAATACAGCTTTTCGCTAGCTAGCCCTCTCTGGTTCATTTTCCTATTACTTGTATAGTTATTACTCCAGAAGACCTAACCAGCTTCACAGTTAGTTAACCAGTTCTTATGAAGTTATCGTGATTTCTCTCAAATAGTGTGTAAGACGTGTGCCTCTTTCAACATTGCCTTTTGAGATCATATATTTGTCATTTTGTATATACAAGTACCGTATATTTCTGAGCTGCGCCATGCGTTCCCCTCAAGATCTACCGATTCTGAGTCTAGCAGAAATTCTTTAGCTCTGCTTGTAGTCTGATACAAAACCACAGATTACAAACCCGTAACTGAAAAGCAGCAGGTCAGAATTGAGTGGTCATTCAAGTAATTCTCTTTCTCAACAAGGAAATCTCGGAATTATCACAAATCGATTTGAATTCGAATCCGTTCAGAAATTTCAACCGTTCTAGTCAATACAGCTTTGAGCTAGCTAGCCCTAACTCTGGTTCATTTTCCTATTACTTGTGTAGTTATGACTCCAGAAGACCTAACCAGCTTCACAGTTAGTTAACCAGTTCTTATGATGTTATCGTGATTTCTCTCAAATAGTGTGTAAGACGTGTGCCTCTCTCAACATTGCCTTTTGAGATCATATATTTGTCATTTTGTATATACAAGTACCGTATATTTGTTTATGTATTAACGAGTGATATCATCCAATAAATCACCTTATCATTGTTGTGTAACTGCAAGTCTATCACACCCTCACACCCAGAAGGTTTACCAATGAATGAAGGGTCCTCGCTAGCTAGACCTCAGACTCTGGGCTTGAAATAGCGATAGGAGAACACACAAGTTAGTACCATTGGTTGTTTATCATCAAAGAAAAATTACTATTCAAATGAGAGCTCATCAGCTCGGAGGCGGAACATGAGATCTCAGTCATTGCAGTGTCAGGGAAAGCGGGGTATGTGTCAAGTCGTGCGTCCGAAGACGCGCGCGGCAAATGCGCGGCGAAGTTCGCTGCGAATTTGGACGACTGCGGCGCTTATCATTGGAGGACAAACCTAAAGTAGAGAAGATTAGTAGGATCAGCTGACCATACCCAACTATTCTACTTCAAGTTTGTGCCCCAGTAATAGGCCGCAGAGTCGTTTGAATCGCCACGAACTTCATCGCGCAATTTGACGACTTGACCGTCCTCCGGGAAAGCGTAGTATTCTCCCCCTTCCGCGCTTAGTCGAAACTAGGTCACGCCGCAGCCGCCGCACGCGAAGTGCCAGCCCGCGATCTTTGACGAACGTCGCGCTCGTTAGCGGGGCATACGAATGGCCCTCGGTCCACGGCAGTCAACTTAAAGTGGAGATAACGAGAGACTAGTGCAAATCATTCGCTTTTATGTCTTTCCAATTTATTTCTCGACATTCAGCTTTATAACCAGCAAACGCTGCACTCAACACTCGGTGCGTGACGACTCAGTTCCCGCAGTGGGTAAGCTGACGGCGCTCAGGACATGCATCTCGGCCAGCGAGCTCTAGTTCTATGTGGACAAGAAAATCCCTCAACTTTATAGCTTCTGACGTCAAAAAAAAGGACCAACCACTGGTTGGTGCGTGTATGCGCCGGTTCTCTTTATCTCTCTGTCAATGATTTTCGTGGAGCACATGAGCGGTGCGATGTACGGTGCTGTGACTTGTTGGTGGGCACTCGGTCACACGGCTTTGACGCAGGCGGTATGTTGTCAGTAGTGCGATGCACAAGTCAGCTCGATGAGCTCATTACCAGCTCAAAACGAGGATAACACGGACTAGTGCAAATTATTCGCTCGACTGACACATAGGAGTGCTGTAATACCATCTCGGAGAACACAGTGGGCTGCGCCGCGAGAAGCGGAGAGGGGGGGGGGGGGGGGNGGGACGTAGTTTCGATGGACGCGCAGGACGGACGTTTCCCGTATTCGCGCGAACCTGCTCTCATGAGCGGGTTTGGTTCAGTTTCGAAATGTTTCAGGTCGAAAGGGCGGGAGACGCAACTGAGCTTGGAGCTCCTTCAAACTTCAGTGTTGGATAAATTCCCTACAACATAATTTATTTTGATGACCAGATTTGGGCAAAACTAGAGATCGATACAATTTGGCACACCGTAACCACATGAAAATGACTAGACCATCAGCTAGGATACAACGGAAAATACTCGCAAATAGGAGATCGCAGACATGAAAACAAAGACAAGGATAGAAGGCTCAGATTGTAGGTTCACATTCATGTGAATGGCAACCACATTGCATGCATTGTTGTACCAAATATTAAGTAGACCATGAGATAGAGATACAGGAGAAACTCCGGTAACCCACGACGACAAAAGTAGGTAAGAAACGGAAGCGGCTGTGGTACGAATAGATCCGAAAGCCGTACCTGAAAAAAATTACGCTAAACAGTTGTGTAACACGAAAATAATATCAAAAACCTTTATCTCAACGGGACAGAATGCAAGCAAGGAGAAGCATGATGCAACTTTTGTTTGGGAACTATTCCTAAATTAAATCCAATACACGCCGAAAAAATCTTTAAGTCCAGATAAATATAACGCTTTCAGTCCCTTCTGAAGGGGTAAAAGTACTAATTTTCACTGTGTATCACTCTTTTCAAGCAGGAAATACTCAATTACGGTCATTTCAGCTGTAGAGTATGCACGGGCTTTGAAAGAAAGTAACTTTGATCAACATGACATGCTTCCTCTTGTGAAACGTCAGTGGGAAGAAAAAGGATGAAGTGATCTGCACTGACAATTCACGACCAGTCCCTAGGGGATCTACAGACAGCAATTATATCAGTACATCTACCTTCATGGGCTAAGCAAATCAAGACGGCAACAGTTATCCAATCAAAATCCCGGAAAGACTCAGGGCTAGGTCGACATCAATAGGACTGAACTCCTGATTTGGGTCCAAGAGTAGCGTCCCGCCTGCTCAGATAAATATTTTAACGAAATGCGAGAGCGTACCTGTGGAGTGATATCAGATATCCACCTTGTAAGGACGAGATATGGAAAAGGTGAACTGGAGAACAACATCCTCGTCAGAACCTATGAGTTCGGAACCGTTATGAAGTTAGCTCTATAGAAATACTACATTCCGTATCAAGAAACGAATACCTCTGCATTATATACAAACAATGCTCCAAGTCCCATAAACATTGCATGAAGGGTATACGGTACATGATCCCCACCTTCAGCAAGTAGATGTAAGAGACTTCTGAAATCGTTCTGGATCAACCAATAAAAGTCAGTTCGTTGAATTCTAAGATTGCATCTTTAAAACGAAAAGCACTCTGGAAACTTCGCAGCAAAAGATGGTTTAACGGTAATGTTCATCCTCATTCGATTATCTAAGAATCGAGAGGGCTCTGAAGCTTGCCGCCTCTACCCTAATTTGCAAATCACCTAGCATACTCTTCACCTAGAATACTGGTAGAACAGTAGAGCAACAGTCATAACACTCAATATTGATTACGATCTATATCATCGGCCAAACCTACACATTAGCGACCATTATGGAATCCATTCTAAAGAAATACTATCTAGGTGATAAGAGACTGAATTACCTCAGAAATACTCAAAATGTAAACGCCTTTGATCAATACTGAACGTACTTTTTCGCCTTCACCCGATGCCATGTCTGCCGTGCACCGAAAACGATCAAGTAAAATGCTGGCGCCGCCATGAGGAAACATGGTATTTTTCGTAACTGCCAGTAACCAAACAATGATACATGCCAGTATTTCGATTGTATTGATGCATAGAACGGAGGGAATATGGATGATGTTACACTGAAATATAAGAATAATAATTACCAACTAAGATAATACAGAACGCAGCCTTGCCGCCAATTATCGAAATCGTTTACGATTAGACAGATAGGAGTAAGACAGTATCCATGCCGTTACACCCGTATATCGACGCCAGTCTTATATATTGTGATTCATACAACTCGTCAGATTTTTTTCAGCATTTTAATCACCATTTTCAGCTTTCAAAAAAGTCTAGTGGCATTTCTATTCAAAATGATCTGCTGCCGCTTGCAAGCACATAGCATGATTGCGAATGTGGAGTGGAGAAGGAATCGAGAAAAAGTGGCTCTCGAATATTAGCTCCGATATCAGCAATATTATCGCATCATTATTAAAAACTGCTGATGAATACGACCCCATAATTATTCTTCCTTGGTTAATAAGCCAGTACCCGCAGCGTGAACAAGCAGTAAATGAATTTCAGTTATGAAGCATTGAATGTATTGCATAATTTGATACTGAGTGTAAGAGTTCAATGACATCATAGGGGAGGCCTCACAGCTAAACCCGAAACTTAAATGAAGGAAAACATCGCACAAATGACCCAAACCGAACGATTTCAAAAAGAAACCGAGAAAAAAGATTTGGAAAGCGAAGATTGTCATCTACTCGTAATAAACTTACTTGCACCAATCTATGACATCAGTACGTCCAACCGTAACCAACTGATGCTCAGTAGCAAATCGTTGAAGAGTCGATGGAACGCTTGATGCGGACGCTAAAAAAAGACTTATTGTTAGTGATTATGTAGAGAGATAACTCTCTCTGTATAATTACTGTCTGCCGACTCTTATAAGTCTCGTCAAGTCTGTAACATCTTTCAACGCTGTTAAGCTAACCAAATCTGAAAAAATATTCTTACACTGCGAACAAAATGCAATTTGTTGACGACGTCCATGGACAAATATTGGAAGTGCGATAGATAACACAGCCAAAATCATACGCATTATAAAAGCCATGGCCTGCAATGTTATTTTCTGACAATACTCCCAAAAATGTGAAACAGTGAAGTTCCATAGTAAGGACTAGGTGGGTTCTTCCAAAATTAACCTCTAATAGCAATGAGTCAATCTAGACGGCACCGATCAACCTGTGGCAAAATATCGCATTGGAGACATTCACACTCCGACATGAACTTCTTTAGCTGTCACATGGTGCAACACTGGGACCGATAGTCATGACAATGATGTTGAATTTCGGAGGGTAGCCAAACAGCAAGGTAAACAAGGAACCATGTCAACATGTAGGAGGCGAGAAGTAACGAGGACGATCAATGAAGTGAATACTGCCTCAACTTTCCTATTCAGTCCCGTACTATACCCTACCTAAATCTTCTCCTGCAAAAACATAAACTTTGCAAGGAAACAACTCTCCCAGTGCATATTTGTTAACCTTATGAACGCACCTAAATTAACGCGTCCCAATTATCGTGGATCAAAAAAAATCGTATCGAGCACCAGGATAATGGAAACGCGTAAAAGATCGAGGCGACACAGAATTACCACGTGATATGTATTCCCCCACCTTTCCGCTCAACATTACAGGGGTTTCTTCGAGCTCCTCGAATGCCTAGGGCTAGGTTTACTTTCTGAGCGCGGGAAGAGGTGCAAGACGCTGAATCTAATCCACATTCTTCGATAATTCATCGAGAACGCAAACGGTTTCGGAAGAAAAAGAAACTATCACATGCGATTGGAAATGCGACATGACTTTGGATTACTTGGTGTATGTTTTTTATTTATTTGCAAAGAATGAAAAAGAGCACATGGAGAGCACTCACACGTGAAATGATGACAGCGATTGGTCTTCGAAATATCACACAACGTCGTCTAGGATGTTCGGGATCCACATTCAAGGCGAAATCGATTAAGCAAAAAAAGCCCACATAGCCGATGTTGATCAAGCCATTCGATCTTAATGATAATTCTGTTATAAACCCGTGATACATGATGATTTCCAGTTCAAGAAATTATTTTCACGACCATTACATTCATTCATATACGAAAACAGTGCATGAAATTTCTCAGTAACGCCAAAACTACTTTGGGAGAAAA